GTCCGAGGTAAAGGACCGACACAGTCTATTATGAGTCTGTGGAAAGGTTCCGCAGGCACCTGTATGGGAATCAGTGGTGCTCTGGGAATGGAGACGTTCGGTTTGCCTGCCATCTGACATGTATGACACTGTTTTACGTTATTTACCATACCTGGCCAGTAGTAGTCTTGGCGAATCCCATGGTAAGTCTTGTTGAAGCCGTAGTGGGAGAATGCTCCGTGGGCCAGGTGTAGAATAGTGGGCCGCAGGCTGGTGGGAATCACAAGTTGTTCGATGTTGGCCCAATCGTCCTCCTCCTTCAGTTTACTGGGTCTATATCTGCGGTAGAGCAAGTCGCTCTCTAGGAAGAACCCAGGAATACTGTCGGGTTGAGTCTCAGCCTGGAAAAACAATGGTGTTAAAGTAAGATCTTCCCTTTGCAACTTACGGAACTCCAACTTGGTCAGATGCGGGGGTAGTTTCTGAGGGTCTTGAGGGACAGCGGTAGCAGTAGAGTCAGCTGGCTGTGGACGTGCGGCTTGTGCACGGGTGGTCACGAGAACCGGAGGAGAAACTTCATCACTCTCTTGAACCTCTGCTGGAACATACTCTAGAATAGGGTTTATTGGCACAGAGTTACACACCTGGGGTTTGTCCATGACGATCAGGTTGGTCGGTTGCAGGTCTTCTGCCAAGTCGTTGCCTAGGAGAAGTTGCACTCCAGGCATGGGAAAAGGCTTTTCCCTGACGGCGACTTGGACTTCCCCGTTCACGTAGGGACAATCCAGGTGGACTCTGGCGAGAGGGTATGGAGTGGTAGCAGTGAGGTCAGTGATGAAGACTGTTTCTCCGGTGTAGACGATGTTGGGCACAGCCGACTTCAAGATGATCGATTGTAGAGCCGCTGTGTCCCTCAAGATCTTCAATTTGAAACGTCCCTCCGGATTTGAACCGTTGGCAGAGACAGTTCCAGTATACAGGTGGTTACTGAAAAGAGAAAGATCATTAACATCAACACCAACATTCATCACAGGCTTACCGGACTTAGGAGGAGTTGGTTTGGGTCTTTGTTGGTCAGTGGTTCCCTTGTATTGAGACTTACCACACTTGTCTATGGTATGTCCATAGAGTCTACAATACTTGCAGTACAGTTTTGAACCAGCTTGATCGGGGCTCACCTTCTCGTAACTGTACCACGACTTCTTACTGGAGGATGGTTCGGGTGTCAGCCGGTGGATGAGGCTGTAAGTGTCAGCCGACTTAGCACACTTCAGGTAGTCGGTTTCTTCTTTATCTGCTAAGTAGAGGCGGACAGGAGGAAGCACACGTCTCAAGAATTCTTCAACAAACATCAGGTTGACGAGTTCTGTAAAAGTAGAGACATGTGCTGCTTCCAGCCATTTCATGAAATACCTCCGTTTCGTGTTAGCAAACTCGAGGAAGGTAGTGGTACTTGCCTTCAGGTGGTCACGGAATTTCCTTCTATAACTTTCAGTAGAGAGGAGGTAGGCGTCCAACACTGCTTGTTTCAGAGTGTGGTAGTCATTCTCAGACGCCAAAGTACTGAGTGTGACTGCAGCTCTACCTGTAAGATGGACTCTGAGAAGTGTGGCCCATTGGTCGACAGGCCAACTGAGTTGATTAGCAAGGGTTTCAAAGGTGGTAAAGAACACATCAACTTCTGCTTCTACAAAGGATGGCATTAACTTACTTGCATGTGATATATTAAAACTGACGGGAAGATTGGCAGTAGCTTGCTGGCGTTGAGTGAAGTGTGAAGTTTCCAAGGCGATTTCGCGTTGACGACACTCTAGAGCCAGAGTCGCTTGTTGCTTGTCATGTTCGCGTTGTATTTCCAACTCGCGTTGTTTGGTTTCAAGCTGTACTCGTTCACGTTCACGGAGTAATGCGACCTCACGTTCGTGTTCTTCTCTTCTCAAGGCAGCTTCGCGTTCTCGTTCGTCTCTCCTCAAAGCGGCTTCGCGTTCGTGTTCTTCCCTCCGTATGGCAGCTGTTCGTTCTTCAATCTTGGCCAGCTCTAGTTTGAGTTTCAGAGTTGCCAAATCAGTTTTTTCTGCAATATAGTAAGTTTCATGAGTTTCAGAGTCTATCTTACCTTGCTCTAAATAGTAATCCAGCAACAGGTTGTGTAGGTCATTTTTGTTGGCTTGGTAGGGAACTTCTAGTTGATACTCATGTGCAAGAGTTTGTAATTCAGTCCTATTTGGCACGACTTAAAGTCCCTATTTCACCTGCTGGATTTGTACGGAAAGCTTGGAGACGAAACATGGTGAAATTAGCAAATAAAGGTACACGAATATTCAATAGTGAAATGTCAGAAACAGGACAACGTGGCAACTGGTACCTATCCTGTGAGATCTTTAACAATTAAAGTTAAGTAAAAGATGTTAAATGATTAAATTAAATCAAGGGCGCAGGAAATCTTGTACCCGGTACTCATGTAAGAGGATAAGGGCAAGAAAATCCTACTAACAAAGGAAACAGAGTTTCGAAAACAAATGAAACAGTTAAATGCTTCAAAAGTAAAATTGGTAGTCCAAGGATGTAGGCATACCTTGCCAAGTCTCTATAGGACATAAAGCAAGTTTTTCCTACTGAATTTAATATGATACTTACAGAATTAGCGAACTTTTGTGCTCTGAAAAAATAAGCTAATTCCCTACCGTTGTATGTATCATCATCTCTGACTGACGTGTAGGGGTGCGAGGTGTCAACTGGTGACGAGAACTGCTGCTGAGGTCCCAATTCAGCAACTAAAGTTCGAGCTAGAGGAACTATGGCCCTCTTTGTCCTCCTACAGTCAGATTGCAGAAGATTGGATACTCTTGACCCGGGGCAGACCACAGTACCAGGGTACCAATATGATGATCTGTCAAAATGAGAAATATTCAAGGGACATAGATGGTAAACACGAGTAATAACACGGAGGGAGAGATGACCAATTAAGAGTATGACTGCGGCCTACAGTCACCACGTAATCCAAAGTTGTCTCACCTTCACCATATGTTACTCTCGTAATGCACAATACACCGCACCTTATAAAAAATGAAATTGAATATGAAAAATAGTAAAGCTACGTTAACAAAGTTAAATACGCTTACCATAAATTACCACTTGGCACCAGTACCTGAGTGAAGCTCCTAGGACAGGCCCCCATATAACTTGTGACGGTAACGCGTTGGTGTTCGGCTGTTTAAGGCTAGGGGTATGGCCTCGTCACATAGTTATAAAAAAAATAGAAAAACTGGAACTTCGTCTGGTATGGTAAGGAGAAGACACACAAAACACAAGTAAATTTTAACAATGAAATTTTAATTACGTTAAATAAATCAAAACATGAAAAATGGACAAACAAATTTGTATAATAAAATCAATCAATCAAAATAATAAGAATAATTAAATGACACAATGAAAAGTTACGTTAAGATAAAATAACAAGAAGTGCAACACAAAATAAAGGGAAGGTGCTGGAATATTGGCTTTAAGCTACCACCTCTCTCAGTACATGCTAACGTCTAGCCGGGAGGAGTGGTAACCACGAAAGCACTGAACATATATATGTATATGTACATATTAGTATATTTTGGTAGCAGTCTTTTTTGTAAAGATATGTTGTAGAATATGACCGAAAGGGTTAGATTAATGATTCTAAGACGAATCTTCTCAATATTTCTTACGTTTTTCTTCACTGTCAAGGGTAATTGAAAAATTAACTCTCCAAAGTTCATTTTCACATTTTTATTTATGGTATTGAACCATAAATTGCATTGTGAATGGTAATGAACTTTGGAGAGGTAATTTCATAATTACCCTCGACAGTGAAGAAAAACTCTGATAGAAATCTGCAATTATTAATTCATGCAACTATTTACTTAACTAATATTCAATAATTATTCTGACGAATTACCAGCGTCGGAATAATACTAGGGATATATTTATCTTTTAGTATGTAACCTCGCAGATTTATGTGTTAAGGCAGCTCTTTAATTAATTATAACTACAGTTCATTTAATGCTCTCTTAATATTTTATTGAATTAATCTAGATCCTTAGGACACTGATTCCTGGATTATATTTTCAGATTCCTTTATTTATTTTTCCTCTTTTTTGTATAAAAAGAGGTGGTCCTTCGAAGCTATCGTTGTATTCAATTAAAATTGATTATTATTAATATTTAGAGCTAGGCTTTCCCACACCTATCCTGTGTGGCAGTGCATCCAATACTCTTTCTGTGACGACAGATTGAAAGAGTTGAATGGTACAGCAGTCAGCTCTCTGGAGCGAAGGATCAGTGGTACAGCAGTCAACCATTGTGGAGTGATGGTTCATTGGTACATCAGCCAACCATTGTGGAGTGGTGGTTCATTGGTACAGCAGTCAACCATTGTGGAGTGATAGTTCAGTTCAGCAGCCAACCATTGGTACAGCAGCCAACCATTGTGGAGTGATGGTTCATTGGTACAGCAGCCAACCATTGTGGAGTGATGGTTCATTGGTACAGCAGCCAACCATTGTGGAGTGGTGGTTCAGTGGTACAGGTACAGCAGCAGCAACCATTGTGGAGTGATGGTTCATTGGTACAGCAGCCAACCATTGTGGAGTGATGGTTCAGCAGCAGCAACCATTGTGGAGTGATGGTGGTTCAACCATTGTGGTACAGCAGCCAACCATTGTGGAGTGATTGGTGTGTTCAACCATTGTGGTACAGCAGCATTGGTACAACCATTGTGGAGTGATGGTGGTGGTGGTTCAGGTACAGCAGCCAACCATTGTGGAGTGATGGTTCATTGGTACAGCAGCCAACCATTGTGGAGTGGTGGTTCATTGGTACAGCAGTCAACCATTGTGGAGTGATGGTTCATTGGTACAGCAGTCAACCATTGTGGAGTGGTGGTTCATTGTGGAACCATTGTGGAGTGGTGGTTCATTGGTACAGCAGCCAACCATTGTGGAGTGATGGTTCAGCAGCCAACCATTGGTACAGCAGTCAACCATTGTGGAGTGATGGTTCAGTCGAACAATACTCAAATTTGTGGTGTGATAGTTCAGTGGTACAGCACTATACCACTGAGAAAGCAAAAGAATATGCAAGAGATTGAGCCAAAGATTGGCCAAGAGATTGATCATCAGACTGAGCAGGAGATTAGGGGAAGTTATCGTGCAAGAGATTAATTACCCGATTGAACAAGAGATTGGATTATGCAAATGAGCAAGAAATTAGTTGAGAGACTGAGCTAGAGATTAAGAAATTTATTGGCAAGTGATTGAGCAAGACACTGGGTATAAAATTTTGCAAGAGACTGAGCCAACAGATTGAGTAATAGAATGAACAAAAGAGTGACAACAAATTGAGCAAGAGGTTGAGCCAGAGATTACGGAAAAGATTATTCAAGAGATTAGGTATGAAAGGGGACAAGCGAGTGAGGGAAAAGATTATGCAAATGACCATGTAAAAGGTTATAGAAAAGATTGTGCAAAAGATTGGACAAGAGATTCAGCAAGAGACTAGGTCAGTGGTTGGACAAGACATTGGGAGAGAGACTGGACTAGAGGTTAGACAATACACTGGGCGAGAGACTGGACTAGAGGTTGGACAAGACTTTGGGAGAGAGACTGGGTAAGTATGACCAGATAGACTTTGAAAACAATTAACAAATGTTAAAGTTATCAAATCATCTGAAATCACTTGCAGTTATACGAGACATATTAATTAATATTAAATGTTTTGTTGTTTTATCAGATTGTTGTTGTGGGAACAACCTCTCACCCTGGGTAAGTACACTGTTTGTATGTTGTTCTTGTTAGTGATCCTTGAGTGTCTGGTTGGTACGTAGTCCTTTTCAATGATCATTGAGTGATTGGTTGGTATGTTGCCCTTGTTAGTGTTCCTTGAGTGTCTGATTGGCACGTGGTCCGTGTTAGTGATCCTTGAGTGTCTGGTTGGTATGTTGCCCTTGTTAGTGATCCTTGAGTGTCTGATTGGCACGTGGTCCGTGTTAGTGATCCTTGAGTGTCTGGTTGGTACGTGGTCCGTGTTAGTGTTCCTTGAGTGTCTGGTTGGTACGTGGTCCGTGTTAGTGATCCTTGAGTGTCTGGTTGGTACGTGTCCTTGTGTTAGTGTCTGGTTGGTATCCTTGAGTGTCTGGTGTCTGGTACGTGGTCCGTGTTAGTGATCCTTGAGTGTCTGGTTGGTACGTTGTCCTTGTTAGTGATCCTTGAGTGTCTGGTTGGTACGTTGTCCTTGTTAGTGATCCTTGAGTGTCTGGTTGGTACGTGGTCCGTGTTAGTGATCCTTGAGTGTCTGGTTGGTACGTGGTCCGTGTTAGTGATCCTTGAGTGTCTGGTTGGTACGTGGTCCGTGTTAGTGATCCTTGAGTGTCTGGTTGGTACGTTGTCCTTGTTAGTGATCCTTGAGTGTCTGGTTGGTACGTTGTCCTTGTTAGTGATCCTTGAGTGTCTGGTTGGTATGTTGCCCTTGTTAGTGATGCTTGAGTGTCTGGTTGGTACGTGGTCCGTGTTAGTGATACTTGAGTGTCTGGTTGGTACGTGGTCCGTGTTAGTGATCCTTGAGTTTCTGTTTGGTACGTTGTTCTCGTGTACTCACCTAGTTGTGCTTGCGGGGGTTAAGCTTTGGCTCTTTGGTCCCGCCTCTCAACCATCAATCAACTGGTGTACATATTCCTGAGCCTACTGGGCTCTATCATATCTACATTTGAAACTGTGTATGGAGTCAGCCTCCACCACATTGTTTCCTAGTGCTTTCCATTTACTAACAACTCTGACACTAAAAAAGTTTTTTCTAATGTCTTTGTGACTCTTTTGGGTACTCAGCTCCCACCTGTGTCCTCTTGTGCATGTACAACCCGTGTTAAATAATTCATCCTTGTACCCTGTCAATTCCATTGAGAATTTTGTATTTGGTGATCATGTCTTTCCGAGTTCTTCTCTCTTTCAGCGACGTGAGGTGCAGTTCACTCAGCCTTTCCTCGTCACTCATGCCTCTTAGTTCTGGGACTAGCCTAGTGGCATACCTCTGAACATTTTCTTGCTTCGTCTTGTGCTTGAAAACGTTCGGGCTCCATGCTGGGGCCGCATACTCCAGGATTTGAGATGCTTATCCTTACATACGTGGTATACAAAGTTCTGAATGATTCCTTACTCAGATTTCCGAAGGAGGTTCTGATGTTAGCCAGCTTCGCATACGCCGCCGATGTTATTCTTTTGATGTGGTCTACAGGAGACAGGCTTGGCGTGATATCAACTCCTAGCTCTTTCTCTCTTTCCATTTCGTGAAGGACTTCATCTCCAATTCGGTATCCAGTGTCTGGCCTCCTATTTCCTCTGCCTAGTTTCATTACCTTACATTTACTTGGGTTGAACGGTAGTAGCCATTTGTTGGACCATTCCTTCAGTTTGTTTAGGTCATCTTGTAGCCTCCTACTATCATCCTGTCTTAATCCTCCTCATAATTTTTTCGTCATCAACAAACATTGAGAAGAACGAGTCTATTCCCTCTGGAAGATCATTTACCTATTTCAGGAACTGTATAGGTCCAAGAACTGATCCCTGAAGGACTCCACTGGTGACCCCACGCCACTCCGAGACCTGATCCCTCACAGTGGCTAGCTGTCTTCTGTTGCTTAGGTTCTCCCCTATCCAGTGGAGTACCTTTCCTTTCATCCTTCCTGCATCTCCAGTTTGTGCACAGGTCTCTTATAGGGTACTCTGTCAAAGGCTTTCTGGCAATCCAAACATATGCAATCTGCCCACCCCTCTCTTTCTTGCCTGATTTTAGTTGTCTGGTAATACAATTCAATCAATCCTGTAAGGCACGATCTGCCATTCCTGAACCCATGCTGATGTTGTTATACAAAGTTCGTCTGCTCTAGATGTTTCATCCGGGTGAGATTCCATCCGGGCCTATAGCTAAGCCTTTGTCACTTCCAACTCTAGCAGATGCTTCCTCATCTTCCCACTGGTAATCATAAACTAATCTAGTGGTGTTTGGTTAGATATTCCCTCTCTTATCTCTAGGACGTCCCCTTGCTCTACTGTGAAAATCTCCTGGAATTCTTATTGAGTTCCTCGCACTCTTTCTTGTCATTTGTAATCAATTTGTCTACCCCTATCCTCAGTTTTATTACCTGTTCATTCACTGATGTTTTTCTACTGATGGGCTGTGCAGCAATTTAAGTTGAGTCTTTGCCTTGTTGCTATGTCATTTTCATATTGTTTTTCTGCCTCTCTTCTCACCTGACGTATTCATTCATGGCGCTCTGGTATCTTTCAATGCTCACTAGTGTCCTATTATTTATACAGTTTCTCCACGCACTTATACTTAGTTGCTTTGCTAGCTTACACCTCTGATTAAACCATGAGTTTCTTGTCTGCATTTCATTTCTTTGCTTTTGGATTGGGACGACTTGTCTGTTGCCTACTTACACTTTTGTGTGATGTAGTCCATCATGCCTTGGGCCGTCTTTCCTCTAAGATATGTTTCTCAAGTTATATCTGTTAGGAATTATCTCATCTTAGTTGCCCTTTCGGAATGCCATTCTTTTGTTTTCTGGGCCCTTCCTTGGGTACATTAACCCTTCTTCGATCAAATACTCAAACAACATTACACAGTGATCGTTCATTCCCACGGGGGCTTTGAAACCGATTTCCTTATGTCGGAGACATTCAGAGTGAAGACTAGCTCGAGTCTCGCTGGTTCATCGGTGCCTCTCATTCTTGTGGGTCCCCTGACATGCTGACTTAAAACGCTTCTTGTCACCACTTCCAACAGTTTAGCTCTCCATGTTTCCTCATCCCCATGTGGTTCTTTGTTTCCCCAGTCTACCCTTCCATGATTGAAGTCCACCATGACGAGAAAATGGGAGCTATTTCTACAGGCAGCAGTGGATGCTCTCTCAGTTATAGTGTTGACTGCCATGTTGTTTCTGTCATACTCTTGCCTGGGTCTTCTGTCGTTTGGTGGAGGGCTATATATCACTGCTAATACTACTCTTGGTCCTTCCATCTTTATGGTGCCTGTAATATAGTCTCTGAACCGTGTGTGTTACCACTTGAGTGTTTGGTTGGTACTTTGTTCCTGTGTGCGAGCCCCTTGAGGGTCTGGTTCGTACTTTGTCCAATTGTGTTACTCCTTGCGTGTCTGTTTCTTACTTTGTTCTCGTGTGTGAGCCCTTGAGTGTCTAGTTGGCACTTTGTATTAGTTAGACTTCCCATGAGTGTCTTGTTGGTGGTACTTTGTCCCTTTGTATGACCCCTTGAGTGTTTGGTTGGTAATGTAACCCTGTGAGTGCCAGGTTTGTAGTTTGCTCCCGTGAGTACCTTGATACTTTCCTCCCGTGAGTACCTTGATACTTTCCTCCCGTGAGTACCTTGATACTTTCCTCCCGTGAGTACCTTGATACTTTCCTCCTGTGAGTACCTTGATACTTTCCTCCCGTGAGTACCTTGATACTTTCCTCCCGTGAGTACCTTGATACTTTCCTCCCGTGAGTACCTTGATACTTTCCTCCCGTGAGTACCTTGATACTTTCCTCCCATGAGTACCTTGATGCTTTGCTCCCGATAATGCCTTGTTGGGAATTTACCCCAATGAGCGCCAGGTTTGTACTTTGCCACCATGAGTGCCTGATTTGTATTATGTACGCATGAATGCCTGGTTTGGTACTTTCTTCCAGTGAGTGCCAGGTGAGTACTTTGCCCCCCCCCCATAAGTGCCTGGCTGGTACTTAGTCCCCTTGAGTGCCAGATGAGTACTTTGCCCCCCTGAGTGCCTTGGTTGGTACTTTGTCTCCGTGAGTTTCTAGTTAGTACTTGGTTCCAGCGAGCGTCATGTGAGTACTTTGCCCTCATGTGTGCCTGTTTTGTACTTTGGCCCCGTGAGTGTCTACGTGAGTGTGCTCACCAAAGGAGCGGCTTTGTGATTCGATTAATTATAAAACATGAAACTCTTCTCTCTCCCGCTGGAGGTGGGTAAATGAGGATGGTTCGATGCCATTGTTCATTGTTCATCGTTGTTCACGGGGTGAACTGAAGCTTAAATTGTGGATGATTTTACACTGTAACTATAGCTCAGCTTGTTAGTTTACAGTCGTTCTACACGTCCAGGACGGAAACAGTTTCTCTCTGACCCTTGTTCAAACGTTGAGTCCTCTAGCTCTTTTGAGTATATATTATCTGGGCAGTTAGTACATCCTGGGAGTAAGGGTGAGGTTGGGCTGGTTATAATACATGAATACAACACACCAGAGTGTTTCACCTCATTATTAAACACTATGTAATTAGTGTTACAACACAAGTAATCACACATTAATATTGTGAGCATAATGTTACAACTGGCGGCAGGTGGTGTCCGAGGTTATTGGCACGTTCCAGAGTGCCACACCAGCCGACAGTAACCATCGTGGGTGACTCGCTTCACCACCCCGGGGGCGTCACACACTTGTAGCTCAGATAGTCTCGTTCTAACTATTATTTTAGTAATTTACATGAACTAAACCATAATCAAGTAATTATTAATTCACAAATAATATTTAACTCATTCAGTAACAATCATACATACAGGACGTAGGAGTCAATGGAAAAATGCTGATCCTTAAAACGTTAAATAACATTAGAGTTATCTTCGGTCAACTGAGCAGACAAAATACTTAAGTTTAGGTTTAATTAAACAATTCTGTACTGAATGGACTAATTCTAAATTAATAATATATGACACTAATAAATTAAAACCCTGTGGAGGTGAGTGGAACACATAACAAACCGTTTATTCAGTCCATTAAAGGTAAGATAAATTACTGAAATATTAACTTTACCCACATAATCCCGCAAGGTCACCACAATAGCTTCCTGATGAACTAGCAAGTTTAGTTTTGGTCTTATGGCCTATCAACCCCAGGAGGAGTATACAGTCCACCACAGTAAATAGTCCAAGTGACGACTATTTCCAGGCATATCCTATTTATATCTTCCCAAATACATTCATATGTATGTTTGACGTAAACTTGAAAGAATTCAACGATCACACGTCCTTGTAATAACTTGATTTCCTTGCCAAATCTTCCAGCAGTGAATGTTCTATATTGGAGATGGCAACGCTTGAGAAAAAAATCATTAAACGCATTTCACTTATTCGCTCGATTAAGTATTAATTTAATGCAACCTAATTATCAGTTTCCATAACCCATTTTCTTCCATTTCCATCTTCTAATAAAAACTTCCCACAGGAAAAGCTGTCCGGATCCCAACTCGTTCGGAAGGGTCTGCACTCAATACCGCGTTGAGTGTCATTATGACCAGGAGTGTCCGAGGGGCCAGAAGTGTTGTCTTGTTGCTGGCTGTGTGCATAAGTGCATAGGTGCATAAGTGCATAAGGTGTGCATAAGTGCACAAGGAGTGCATAAACTAAGGTCAGGAGGAACAAAGGGTACGTTGGAAGAGGGGCAGAAGGGCATACTGCAGTAGGGCACGCAATAGAAGCATTATGTAAGAGCGTTTTCATATTATCTATGAAATGATTTCAGCCAATAGAATTAGGGAATTATCAGGTGACAGTGCAAAGCTATTATGACTATATAGAACTTGGGTCAGAATATGGATTTGGGATGGGGCGGGGGAAATGGAATGGTGCCCATCCACCTGTACGGTCGGGGATCGAACGCCGACCCGCATGACCGTCGCTATACCGTCCAGCCCAAGTGGTTAGATCAGCCAGTAGAGGCGCTGTGAAACATTCCTTAACAAAACCAGCATTACACACGTCCAGAATATTTTCATCTATCAAGAGTGCTTGGAACCGGTGCAGGGAAAACACCCTAAGATGCTTCAGCTCACTTGGACGAGTTGACACCTTGACTCCACAGTTGTCTCCCAGCAACTATCAACCTCAAGATGGCCCAACTGACATGAACGTATCAAGATATGCAAAACAATGCACAAGACATGCAGAAAAAACGCACAATAAATGGAGAACAGCCCACAATAAATGAAAAACAGCACACAATAAAGGTAGAACAGAACACCACCATAAGATAATCTTTTAAAAATTTGTGGAGTTTTTAGTTTGTGTATCAAACCTTTAATTTTGTATAAAGATTAAGCTTGACATTTTCCTAGTAGTACTATCACTTACATTATATATGTATTAAGAGAGAGCTTGACATATTCCTAGCGGTATTAACTCTTGCATTATACTTGTATTAATGTTAGGCTTGACGTTTTCATGGTGTTATATTGTCACTTTAGGTTATGCCTCAGCTTAGATCATAACATTTTGCTTGTAATATTTAGAGATTTCTATTTAATTTAAACTGGAAGATTAGTAACTATAAATAGATTTAAATGATGCTGTATTGTCAGTCCTGTTAACCAATATATTGAAGTTCTGCATATATAGTTATCATAGCCCTCGTCCTCTTCTGAACGAATCTGACCCAAGATCATTATCTATATAAATATAAATGGAAATGTTCGTTTGTAAATAACCGCTAATCTCCGAAAGTTCTTCACCGATTGCTTTGAAATTTTCACACAACGTTCCATTTGCATCCGAGTACGTTTTCATATACATACTATATAGATGTCACGTCTGTGACGTTAAAAAAACATGCGTTTTCTGAAAAACTGTGTTTTTCATGTGAGGGAAATCTTCGAAACCTCTTTACCGATTGCTTTGAAATTTTGACACAACGTTGCATTCGAATAGGTGCATCTTTTTATATATCTACAATATACAATATCAATATTTCTTGTGACAGGAAAAAACATTATTTTTTTTAAACAGCGCCATCTGTTGAATGTAAGAGCAACACACACTGTAATCTTCGAAAGTTCTTTACCGATTGCTTTGAAATTTGAACACAACGTTGCATTCGAAAAGGCGCGTCTTTTTATATACCTACTATATAGATGCCACCCCTGAGACAGGTAAAAAACATGCGTTTTTGAAAAACAGTTCCATCTGTTGCACATTAGACCAACACATGCTAAACCAATTATGTTACGATTCCATTTCAGTGTTTCCTATTTCATTGATAAATTGAATTTTCATAGATTTTAATTTATTTTCATTTTGATTTAATTATTTTGTGTGACATTGCGTTGGAATTGAGCTGAACTGTTTACAGCTCAACTGTAATTGTATTGAGCTGTATTGTACGTTCATTTTGTGAGTACAGCTTATTTTGTTATCTTTTCGTTGTTTTCATTTCGTTTTTTGAACTGTTTTTCTTATATTTCAGTGATGGGAAAATGTTGGGCCAGATTCACGAAGCAGTTATGCAAGTACTTACGAACGTGTACATCTTTCCTCAATTTTTGATGGCTTTGGTTACATTTATTAAACAGTTTACATGCATGAAAACTTGACAATCAAGAATTAACAAGTATATATAAAGTTTCTGGTAGTTTTCTTCTACCTTTTAATTCATTGATATTCTGGAAGAAATAATATTAATATATATAATTTTGTGAAAAAAACGAGTCATATTTATGCACTTAAATGTGTTTGCCTAATACTCCCAAAGTCAGTATGATCTCGAGAAGCTGCTAGGACTACGTAGGCAATACTAGGCCTATTATAGCCATACCCACACAACAGAAAACGACGAAACAACCGCATTTCGGGCCGTCCAGGACCATTATCCAGCTGCTCAAAGGACTTGATAAACGTCCTGATGGACCAACACGTCGTCGTTTCTTTGTTTTCTGATGTGTGGTTTGGTCATCATATCTTCAGCCACGTTATTGTGACTCGTCGTCTGAATATATATATATATATATATATATATATATATATATATATATATATATATATATATATATATATATATATATATATATATATATATATATATATATATATATATATATATATATATATATATATATATATATATATATATATACATATATATATATATATATATATATATATGTATATATTATTAAATATGACCGAAAAAGTAAGATTACTAATTCTGACACGAATTTTCTCGATCTTTCTTACGTTTCTTTTCACTGTTGATGATAATTCAATAATCAATTCTCCAAAATTCATTTTTATTTCTAGTCTGACGCGACACTTGAGCGCGTTTCGTAAAACTTATTAAATTCTCAAAGACTTTAGTTTACAAACACACAACTGAAACTGAATAGAGCTTACACATCTTCGACTTTATACCTACATTTGGGTGAGGTGGATGAGGTGAAAACAAACTTTCAACAATGGGTATTGAATGGGTATTAAATTCAAACACAAGACAGAACACGAAACAATGGGTATTGAATGGAAATAATTGTAGAAAGCCTATTGGTCCATTTTTCTTGATGCTTCTATATTGGAGCGGAGTCTTGATGTGGGTAGAATGTAGTTGTGCATTAATTGGCTGTTGATTGCTGGTGTTGACTTCTTGATGTGTAGTGCCTCGCAAACGTCAAGCCGCCTGCTATCGCTGTATCTATCGATGATTTCTGTGTTGTTTGCTAAGATTTCTCTGGTGATGGTTTGGTTGTGGGAAGAGGCTATATGTTCCTTAATGGAGCCCGGTTGCTTATGCATCGTTAAACGCCTGGAAAGAGATGTTGTCTTGCCTATATACTGAGTTTTTTGAGGCTTACAATTCCCAGAGGGCATTTGAAGGCATAGACGACGTTGGTCTCTTTTAAAACGTTCTGCTTTCTTTCTGGAAAGTTTCTCATGAGTAGGCTGGCCGTTTTTTGGTTTTATAGTAAATTGTCAGTTGTATCTTCTGATTTTTGTCTGTAGGGATAACGTTTCTACTGACAATATCTTTCAGGACCCTTTCCTCCGTTTTATGGTCTGTGGAAAAGAAGTTCCTGTAAAATAGTCTAATAGGGGGTATAGGTGTTGTGCTAGTTGTCTCTTCAGAGGTTGCATGGCGTTTCACTTTCCTTCTTATGATGTCTTCCACGAAACCATTGGAGAAGCCGTTGTTGACTAGGACCTGCCTTACCCTACAGAGTTCTTCGTCGACTTGCTTCCAGTCTGAGCTGTGGCTGAGGGCACGGTCGACATAAGCGTTAACAACACTCCTCTTGTACCTGTCTGGGCAGTCACTGTTGGCCTTCAGGCACATTCCTATGTTTGTTTCCTTAACATTCCTATGTTTTAACATAGGAATGTGCCTAAATGCCAACAGTGACTGCCCGGACAGGTACAAAAGGAGTGTTGTTAACGCTTATGTCGACCGTACCCTCAGCCACAGCTCAGAATGGAAGCAGGTCGACGAAGAACTCTGTAGGGTAAGGGTATATATATATATATATATATATATATATATATATATATATATATATATATATATATATATATATATATATATATATATATATATATATATATATATATATATATATATTTATATATATTAGTATATTTTGGTAGCAGTCTTTCCTGTAGACATATTTTATTAAATATGACCGAAAAAGTAAGATTAATAATTCTAACACGAATTTTCTCAATCTTTCGTACATTATGCTTCACTGTTGGAGGTAAATCAAAAATCACTTCTCCAAAATTCATTTTTATTTCTAGTCTGACGCGACACGGGCGCGTTTCGTAAAACTTATTACATTTTCAAAGACTTCACAAATACACAACTGATTAGAACTTGCGTTTCCCTGATTTTATATCTACATTGAGTGAGGTGGGAAGGGTGATGTGGCATTACATTTGAGTGAGGTGGGAAGGATGATGTGGCATTAGAGGATATTAATAGGGTATTAAAAGTATCAACACAAGACAGAACACGAAACAATGGATATTGAATAGAAGTGTTTGTAGAAAGCCTATTGGTCCATATTCTTGATGCTTCTATATTGGAGCGGAGTCTTGAGGTGGGTAGAATATAGTTGTGCAATAATTGGCTGTTGATTGCTGGTGTTGACTTCTTGATGTGTAGTGCCTCGCAAACGTCAAGCCGCCTGCTATCGCTGTATCTATCGATGATTTCTGTGTTGTTTACTAGGATTTCTCTGGCGATGGTTTGGTTATGGGAAGAGATTATATGTTCCTTAATGGAGCCCTGTTGTTTATGCATCGTTAAACGCCTAGAAAGAGATGTTGTTGTCTTGCCTATATACTGGGTTTTTTGGAGCTTACAGTCCCCAAGTGGGCATTTGAAGGCATAGACGACGTTAGTCTCTTTTAAAGCGTTCTGTTTCGTGTCTGGAGAGTTTCTCATGAGTAGGCTGGCCGTTTTCTGGTTTTATAGTAAATCGTCAGTTGTATCCTCTGATTTTGTCTGTAGGGATAACGTTTCTATTAACAATATCTTTCAGGACCCTTTCCTCTGTTTTATGAGCTGTGGAAAAGAAGTTCCTGTAAAATAGTCTAATAGGGGTATAGGTGTTGTGTTAGTTGTCTCTTCGGAGGTTGCATGGCTTTTCACTTTCCTTCTTATGATGTCTTCGATGAAACCATTGGAGAAGCCGTTATTGACTAGAACCTGCCTTACCCTACAGAGTTCTTCGTCGACTTGCTTCCATTCTGAGCTGTGGCTGAGAGCACGGTCGACGTATGCGTTAACAACACTCCTCTTGTACCTGTCAGGGCAGTCGCTGTTGGCCACTGCAGTCTACACAAAGGAAACAAACATAGGAATGTGCCTAAATGCCAACAGCGACTGCCCTGACAGGTACAAGAGGAGTGTTGTTAACGCATACGTCGACCGTGCTCTCAGCCACAGCTCAGAATGGAAGCAAGTCGACGAAGAACTCTGTAGGGTAAGGCAGGTTCTAGTCAATAACGGCTTCTCCAATGGTTTCATCGAAGACATCATAAGAAGGAAAGTGAAAAGCCATGCAACCTCCGAAGAGACAACTAACACAACACCTATACCCCCTATTAGACTATTTTACAGGAACTTCTTTTCCACAGCTCATAAAACAGAGGAAAGGGTCCTGAAAGATATTGTTAATAGAAACGTTATCCCTACAGACAAAAATCAGAGGATACAACTGACGATTTACTATAAAACCAGAAAAACGGCCAGCCTACTCATGAGAAACTCTCCAGACACGAAACAGAACGCTTTAAAAGAGACTAACGTCGTCTATGCCTTCAAATGCCCACTTGGGGACTGTAAGCTCCAAAAAACCCAGTATATAGGCAAGACAACAACATCTCTTTCTAGGCGTTTAACGATGCATAAACAACAGGGCTCCATTAAGGAACATATAATCTCTTCCCATAACCAAACCATCGCCAGAGAAATCCTAGTAAACAACACAGAAATCATCGATAGATACAGCGATAGCAGGCGGCTTGACGTTTGCGAGGCACTACACATCAAGAAGTCAACACCAGCAATCAACAGCCAATTATTGCACAACTATATTCTACCCACCTCAAGACTCCGCTCCAATAT